CAGCATGCAAAAATATTTGCGCTTGGCTGATAGCGGCTGTTGTTGTTGTGGTTGCAGCAATGCAGCAATTGCAATGGTGCTGCAGCGGAAACGGAAACACGACACCTGCGCAAGCCACACTCGCACACCCGCACACACACATACACAGACAGTTTGGCTGCCACAGCAGCTGCAGCAGCTACGCGACAAACAAACAGACATAAACAAGGAGTCGAGATAAACAGGAACTTATTATGCAAGCGCATGCAACGTTGTATGTTGCAAGTTTGCAACGCACCAGGTGCACCGCTTATACGTGTGTGTAAGTGTGTGTGTGTGTGTGTGTGTGGGTGTGTGTGCTTTATCTGCGATTACAATGAAAACAGTGTGAGCAGCTGCTTGAAGCTGCGCTCACCCTTATTTATTGTTATGGTTACCAATTGCCACCGACCATACTGACCAATGATTACCCCTCTCGCCACCCCTTCTCTCAAATAAGAGGGGCATATTTGCGTACTTCACACCTTGACGTCAGCAGCAGCAGTGCAAACAACAAAAACAACACTGTGTCCTCTTTTTCTGCGAGACTTTTGGTCTGGTTGCGACCCCCAAAAAAAACCCAATCCGCCCAAAAAAATAAATATTCTGCTCAACGTTCCAGCTGTCGAGGTCACCCAAAATGGCTTTGTTATGCTTGCAAATAATTTAGTCATTTTGGCTTGAATACTTTTCTGGGAGCTTCTTGTTGGCTAGCTGATAATAACAAAACGCAAACACAAAAAAGCACACATCTAAAGTGAGGCACATATATATATATATATATATATATATATATACATGTGTGTGCTTGTGTGAATGTCACTTGAGGGCACAAAACTCAAAGCATAGTTAGGCTAATTTCGAGTCAAGCAAACATCACATAAATATGCATATACTTGAATTAATGCATTTTGTCAACGGTTTGCGCAAAAAGCCAAATGGCAGCTGCCAACTGCCAACTTGCAGATGAGTGGGATAAACACACAGTTATGAAGCGAAACTTGTCTGTAGCAAAAATAAAATAATGCACACCATTATTTCAACTAACAAACAGTTATAGCTAAACTGCAGAAGCAAATGCAAAACGTGCATTTCACATATGAACAAGTAATGAATGAGCTCGACTACGATATACCCTTCTTAATATATTACAGTTTTATTGGCAAATTTCTCTTTAACATGTTTTGCACCCAAATGTGAGCAAGTGCACTCACTGATTGCATTTAGTAAGCACGGGCACTGAAGAGAACAAAAAAAACGAGTGCAGCGCATATTTTATTCACAAGCCTCAACTGATCAGTTAAGATCAGCTGGCGACAATTGCGTGCATATACAGATATATATGATTACCACAATCAAAGGTAACGGGGCTCTGCAGAATACACACAAGAACATATTTACACTCGTCATCTCTTTCTCACACGTGCGTTCGCATACTTTTGTATCCAAAAAATGCTTGCGCCTGCTGATAGATATGAGATCAATGTGAGAACACGATTTCGACTATAACTTGGATATTTATTTTCCGATATTGATGAAATCTCCCCGGAGTGACTCGGCTTTTCATTCTGGTCAAGAAAAGATGGAATCCACTCCTCGACTCTGACAGACGGCAGATACCTCATCTACTCTCGTCTCAACAAATAAATTATGCAAGAACCAGTAAGGAATTCTAGAGAAGGACTAGGAAAATATCCTCAACTAGAGCTGGGAGCGGACCTTTTTATTAATTCCGGTTGTTCCTCTAACGAAATTTGAGTTTTAATATTGTTCCAGGAAAATTTCGAAGATTTCTGATGTTAACCCGGGATTTTCCAAGAGGAGTCTCACTATCCCATAAAATAAAAAAGATTTTCTCTTCTATTCAATTATTTCATTTAATTATTTCTGGTTTTTGTCTAAGAATAAAAGTTTTCGAAAATATCTTCAAGTCGGTTCTCCAAATTTCAGCTTGCATCTGAAAAAAAAACTTTTTGCTTGTGGAATATTTAAAATATTTTCTAAAAAGTTGCTAGAGCAAATACACTGAAATAATTTTTTTTCAGTTTATGTGTGTGTGCACAAGTGAAAATTCGATTTTCTCCCGTGTTTTTAATCGATTTTGATGTAATTTTTACAGATGATTTATATTATATCTAGTTAAATAAATTCTTGTTTAAAATTATATATATTTTAAATTCTCGTTTTTATTACTGTCAGTGATCGAGTTGAATTGATATTTCATAAAATGATATGGTACATCAAATGAAATGGTATCTTGATCATAAGGAATTGTCGTGCGTAGACTAATGCTGGTCTAAAATATACATATATCATTTATTGGATCGATTTTGCTTTCTTCTAACTGTTACATAATTTTACACAACTTCATTAATGGTCAGAACAAGAAATAACATCTAATTTAAAATTGAAACATAAATACAATTTACTGTTTGGGAGTAGAGGGTATTTCTCAATTAAAATGTGTCATTTAAATAATCACTTAATAACAATTATCTCATATATGAAGCTGAGGTTTATTCCAACGTTGGTTCGTTTCCTTTATTTTATTTTGTTTTTATCACTATTATTTTTGCTTTTTAACTGCAGTCAGTGTTGTATAGTTTTGCTATATTATTCGTTTCTGTCTAAAAGGAAAATACATTTGCATATGCATGAAAGTGAGTGCGTGTGTGTGTGCGTGTGTGTGTGTGTGTGTGTGCGTGTGTGTGGTATGTGGCTTATGCCAGCAGGCATGCATAAGGGCATTAAAAATATTGTTTTCGAGGCACACTAAAATATACCCGTCAGTCACTTTTTGCTTTTGTTATAAAAACAATGATTGTGAAATGTGCCAAATAAAAAAAGATGGTTGCAATTTTGATTGGTTTCAAGTATTTTCATTTTTTGTTTAAGAGAAAAAACACTTTTGTATGTCAGTAAAAGCATGACGAATAGTCAGTTGGCCCTTTCTTTTTGTGATAGCGATCAAGATCAGAGCTAGATTCGCTCATTTGTGTGTGACATGCCTTGTGGCATGACGCATTCATACCTTCAATATACCCAACCACTGACTGAGCACGAGTACTCATTTATATGCGAGTATGCCTCCAGGCGATTGCCGTGCATTCGCGTCGCAAGTCTGCTCCAAATGTGAGCAAAGCTAACAAATAGTTGATGCGCTGGCCCGGACATATCTCCACCCAGTCCCGGAAACCAACCAAACCGCCCCGGCTGCCGACCCGTTTTGGCTGCCACAGTTCAGTCGCTGAGCGTGTTTCATGCATTTTTAAGCAGCCATTTGTCAAGCGCGTGAAAAGTGTTGGCTGCTTTTGGGCAACTTGCGCTCTTATAAGCACACTCACACACACACTCATACTCACACATACTCACACACACACACACACACACTCATGCGCACTGCCTGCAGCTGCTGTGTATGTGTGTATTTATGAGTTGAGTAAAACTTTTAATTAACCAAAATTGAGGCTTTACAGCCGCCCCCAAAGAGTTTTTTTTTTTTATACAAAACCAAAAAGAAGCATTTACCTGCTCCACAGTCGCATAGCCATGCTTAAAAGTTTCCGATTTTTTCCCTTGGCATACACAAAAGAAAATTTAAAGCAAAAATAAAACTACATGAAAAGTTTTTTGGAGCGACAGGTAAATTGCTTAAGAAAGTTGCAAGTCAATTCAGCCCTAGAAGCAACCCAAAAGATCAAAATCACGGCAACTTTTGCACGTCATGTGTGTCTGTGTGTGTGTGTGTGTGTGTGTGCGTGGGTGAGTGGGTGTGCTTAATGTAGGTGTAAGCATGTAGCAAAGCTCTTGGACAAACAAGCTGAGTGACGGGCAAAGATAAGAATACTCCTCTTTCGAGAGGGGCCTCCAGCTAATAAAATATAACGCGACACAAGAAAGATCGGATAACTTTACCACATCGAAGGTTATAAATTATTTTTGACCTTGAAATGTATTTGTCCAAAAATAAGGATTTGCAGCTGTACTTTTTAGAAATTTAATTCCTATAAATAGAAAACATTTCAAACAAATAGAAAAAAGTCATTCTAATTGTTAGAATTTGTATACCCTTGTAGAATGGGGAAGAATCAGTCCAAAGACGAAACAGGACACCTAAAAATAAAATTGATTTAAAAGTACAAAATATGTTAATATTTTGAGCTCTCAGCAAAATAATATATGTCGGCAGGTAAACTACGGCTACGGAGTAGCTACTTTTTTTTTTCGTATATTTAGAAATTATCTTTAAGATCCAGAAAGTTATTCAAGAGTTAAGAACGATTTGCAGTTTATTGCTAGTTTTTAAATTTCAAATTTGAGTTCGCATATACCATGGACAGATCAAGTTTAATTTTCACTTTCTCGATAAAAGGAATAAGTCTCTCTAATTGCCCGAAAAATATTTTTCGTATATTTGGAAAATATTCCTAAGAATAGTGAAATTTTAATTTTGGGACGATTTTCCGAATTTCAGTTCAATTTTTTGTATTTATGTATATATATATATATTTATGTATATATATATATCTGAGTGTATAGACATCCAATTTGAGTTCTCATATACAATGGACAGATGAAACTTAATTTTAATTTTATCGATAACCAAAAAGTATTTTCATATTGAACACGACAAGTATCTGAATATTTAAAAACTGAGTTCAGAGTATCTGCTAGTTGAGGTATTTGAATAGAACATTATTACTATTATTTTGTTTACTTTTATCTATCTTTTATCTATAACGGATGCGCACAACAACATATCACAACAGAATTGAATGTTTTCGATTTAGGCACACATATGAGAGCAGGAGCGGAAGCGCGAGCGGCAGTGGGGACAAACTCAATTCAAAATCAATGCAAACAAACGGAACAAGCCAAAAAGTATCGGATAAGAGATGCGTAAGTTGCATTTTTAGTGGGTGTTAGTCAACGCCGGGGCTGAGCGGTTAGTGGGTGGATATGGTTGGAGGGAGACCGCTTACGTTTGGAGAGACAGCCCCAGGCCAAAAGTAGAGCAGTCAAAGCTACACAACGAACAGGGAGAGAAAGAAACAGAGAGAGAGAGATAGGCAGTGTAAGAGAGAGAGAGAGAGAGAGAGGGAAAATATAACATAATATCAAATTGTACAACTAAATTATGAAAGTTTTGCGTGGAATTTTGATTTCAACCGGGCTAAATTTGCTTACCAGTCTGTGCGGCGCTGCCATGGAATAGACTACGCAGATAGCTGATCAGTCGCCGATGCAGTGGCCGATGGCGATGACGCGACGATTTGCGCACAGTTGAGGATGAGTCCTGGCCACCTTCGCCCTGCTCCGCATCATCGATGTCAGCTGTCTCCTTGCCGCACTGCGTTGCATCCACAATGATCTCAATGCTGCGCTGGGTGTTGGATTTTTTGAGAACGACACCACCGCCGTGACCAACTCCACTGCTGGTGCCGGTGAGCGCTGCTAGAGCGCTGCTGCTGCTGCCGGCACCAGCGCTGGTGGCAATGGTGCCAATGAGTGCATCTGTGGCACAGCTGCCCGTGCCCGCAATGCTGCTCACAATGTTACCACGTGAACTGTGACCCGGCTGCTGCTGGATGATGCGACTGCTGTTCGACGGCAGCTGGCGCTGTCCGGCCATGATGCCGGGTAGCTGCTCGTTGACCGCGCCATTGCTGTGACCGCCGCGATAGATCAGCTCCGTCTCGTTGGACACCTGACGCAGTGCGTGCAGTCCCAGGCCCGTGTGTGAGGCACTGCTGGCCATGCCGGCAGATGCGCCGGCAACGGCACCGGAGCCACTGCCATTGCCATTGAGGCCGGTGTAGTAGGCGCTATTCGGTCGCTGCGTATGCTGCACCTGCGGCCCAGCCATTGCGTTATCCCGGAAACGGAATCGGACTCGGCGTTGGGTCGGTCGCTCGACCTCGAGCGGATTAGCAGTGCAGGCTCAGCTCAGCTCAGCGTCTACTCTACTCTCTAGTAGTAGTTGCGTGTTAAGGTTAGTTGCTCTCGTTCACTCATTATCAAACTTATTATTATTATTATTTACATGTTGCTCGTCATTTTATTTTGTTTTTTTTTCTAGCGTTAGAATTCGGCTTACTTTGATTTTGATTAGTTTTTGCTTTTGGTTTTAGTTTTATGTTATTTGCATTAAGCGTTTTTTGTGTCTGGCTATTGGCAGTCGCTTCAACTTCAGCTTTAAATTCTCAACATCTGCACGAAGAGCGAGAGAGAGAGAGAGCATGATTGGGTTAGAGGGAGAGAGAAAGAGAGAGAGAGAGAACAAGATAAAATATTATAAGCTTGTGGTTAATTCATATTAATATTCAGTTATTTAATTATTTTAATACATACAGCCAGTAGCGTTGCATATTTGTGTGTGAATAAATGTGGATTGGGTATCGCAGTGTGTGTGTGTGTGTGTGTGTGTGAGGGTGTGCGGGTGTGTGGATATGTGTTAGTTACATATATATTTCACTTTTGATTTATTTTCGTGTCTAATGGCCAAAACTTTCTGTTTATCAGATTACTTTCTTGAAAAGTTACAATGAGGTCATTTCCCAGCAGTTTTAACAGTTGATAACCGATAGTAACTCAATGCCAGCAGCTCATATAACAAAGTTAATTATAACAAATAATTTGCGATATAGAAAACTATTTAACAAACTTGAATAAGGTATGTGACGATGTAATATTATTATATATTATATATATCAATATACGAAATATATTCAATCCAAGACAGCCATGCGGCAGAAATCTAGCCAGAGTCAAGTGCCTTAAAATTTTAGGTTCGATTATAGTTCGATTGCCAAAATATATACAAAATTTTGATTTTATTTGTTTGCCCCAAATCCGTTGCGAGTGTCATTTCCTCAAATGGAGAACAATATGGATGACGACACGCCCTTCAATCCTTTCTATATTGGTCCAAATCCGAGCAAGGCATGCGCCAATGAGGAAGTGCCGCCTCGTGAATGCTCGCCGGACTGCATCCCTGCTGCTGACAACAAAACTGCGGACCCCAACCCACCTACATCAAGCACCGCTCAGGGAAACGAGACTTCATCTTCACCGTGCAAACCATATAATTGCAATTATCACAGCAACTAGTGGCTATGGAGGACATTACAAATAACACAATTTTGAATAAACCACAGTCTTGAATAAAGCATCAAATTGAAACCAATCGATGTTTCTCTGCTCTTTCATTTTATCGATAACTTTCACGTTTCGCGAATATTATAATAATATTATTGTATATTATACTTTGACATACTATTGTTCACCCTTTGAAATTTTAGTTAAATCAGGAAATCATATATTGACATATTTAGTGTTCACGCATCAAATGTTTTCATCTTTAAAATGTCAAATTGAAGTGGAGCCAAATTTAGGTTACGCATTTCGTTTGGTTTTGTTTCATAATTTTCTGCAAACATTTAAGGGGCTGGCTTTAAATCTTCCCTTCCTTCAAATTAAAACAATTAAGTATATTCTCGAGCTAGTGAGCTCTTACATTGCCTCCGCTTACACACCCACAAATACCGTTATTTGGCCGTTGTATCTTTTCAAAATGGCCGCCAAGGTGCGACGGCAGCCCAAAAATTTATGACATATCTTACGGGTAATAATTTTCGACTACGCTTAGCAGCTAACAAGGCTAACGTGCTAGGGAATCTAATTCCTCACACACGCAGACCCACAAACACACACACACACACACACACAGACACGTAGACCCATACACACACACACACACACACACATACACTTTAGCAGATGAAAAGGTCGTCCATATTTGACTATTTTGGACCAAATTGGCGAACAGCGGTCGCCAATTGCGTGAAATTTAACAAACAAGAACTTTTGAGCATTTAATTAAAAGAAAATGTGCGGCACGTCGCTGTCACTTTTGGAGGAAGAGGGGGCAGGGGGAGTGGCAACTGCCGAAACGGATGCTAAGCACATTGAAATTTCGCAACATGCGCCCCGCCGAGCTGTCAATAATGGGTTAACAATGGGATGCGACGACAAGCCCAGCTCAAGTTCCATCTACATTTGCGTCTAACTCTCTCACTCTCTCTGTATTTCAACTGATGCGCTGATTTGTCAGTTCTATGGTAAACGTGTCATGCTTTTGTCACGTGTTGGTCGTTTGTCAGAAACGCGACTTTTTAGCAACACTCCGCGTATCGCATTGCGTATGAGCAATATTTGAGTACGCTGCTTGTTTGCAGTCGTTAGCTTTAAATGGAGCATGCAGAAGGAGCCTGTTGAGCATTCTACTGGCTGGCTGGCAGGCAACTGAAATCCATTTCCGAATGTAAATAGTCAAATGCTGTGCACAAGCTATCCTTGCATCCGTTAGTCCTTGAGTATTCAATTGGTGCATGTTGCGAACAGTTAATTATTTATGAGACTCAAGTACATTGAGCTATTGATTTGTATGTTTTTGACAAGTTCTCTCAGATGTTGTTCTCTTGCAACTGTTTAACTAAATTAATTCAATCCATAACTATTTCGAAAAGAAGCTCGAATTAATATTTTAATCAATTCCGCAAACAATTTACAATGTGCAATGAAAATATAAAATAATAAGTCGCTGGCACAACATGAATTCATAATTCATTTCAATCTGAATAGCTTAAATCGGGTTTTTCCTGATGCCCTTGATTTATTTTGTTGTTGTTTCAAATTTCAACTTATGTATTTAGCTGTTAAATAATTTGGACAAGCAGCTCACGTTATTCGTTACTTGTTGAATAATTGAATAAGCAATTGAAAACAACTAGGCAAATTATTCCTAAATGATTTATGTAATCCGATTAGACAATGTTGAGACTTAAGAGCCACTTGTTGTCTGTAGGCTAAATGCAATTCAATCAGCATATGCAATGCCTATAAGCACTTTCACAATATTCCAAGTGAAAATCGAACGCATTGCCAAACCCAGCTTATATGAACAGCAATATATATATCTATAAATATACGTATAATTTACATACGTAAGTATTTGGGACATTTTCCATCAAACTTATTGATTTACACAACTTTATTTGCTTGCGCGTATGTGTGTGTGTGTGTGTTTTTGAGCACACATGGGATATGTTGCAATTTAGCAGGCGGGAGCAGACCGCCTGGCAGACTGTCTGTCTGATTGTCGGTCTATCTGAGCATTTCCTCTAACTCTGCCACAGTTTTTCTGAATTTGTATACTTTGATGTCGAAGGAATCACAGTATATTAGTTTAGAGATAGAGACTTGAAACTTGGAACATGTACTGAGTGGTCTGTGCCCGCGTCAGACAAAATGCTGTGCTACGTCCACTAGGGGGCTAGAAAATCGATAAAATCGATAATTGCAAATCGATAAATGCATATCTCCCATAATTTTACAGATAGAGTGACCAAAATTAGAAGAGAACTTGCTGCATCAAACCTTCAGAGATCGGCATCTACATTTATAGACGACACCTGCCACCTCAAGGAAGTTCGGCCCTAGAAATCTAAGCTCTAGAGTCACACAATTTTGAAGATATGTTTCTGATAACTCCTCTAAGAGATCCAAGCCGATACACCAATTAGTGTAAGTCGAGAGGACCATATATCTCACACAATTGAAAGTAACAACTTTTAAAAATCAAGAATAAAAATTTGATTGCTAAGAACCTTCTGTAAGAATTATTTCAACCACGCCCACTACTGCCTCCTCCCGTAATTTAAGAGCTAGCAAACTTAGAAGAAAGGTTACTAGGAAACTCTTCCCTCCAACATTTACAGATTTTAAAGGTAAAATTGGACGGTATTTCTTGGCTACACCCAACCTTTGCTTTCTACCTGCTATCAGCTCGTATTATTTACAGTATCAAAGTATTTCGCAGTCGGGTATGCCCGACTGCAGCGTTCTCTCTTGCTTCTGTTATATTTATGGCAACATTTTGCATATCACACACATACACATGCAAATAGCCAGAGTAGAATAACCAACTGACACAGAAACAGCATGTTTACAAGTTTTTTCAGGCAGTATTCATACAAATATACATATTTTTTATATATGAGTATATTTTTATGGGTACACACTCATTTACACAATTGGGATTGCCGCACAAATTGCCAATTCTACTTTAGAATTTTAGACAAGGCTAGAACTAGCGATTAGCTTAGGTCCGCCGATGACTAAATACACTTTGGTCAAAATATTCCATATTTGTGCAGTTAAATTATATAAGCATACGTAGCATTTATTTATATTTTGTTGCATACGTAGCTTTTATTTATATTTTGTTGCCACTATTGACTTTCACTATTCAAGCGATGCGAGCTATGTATATGATATAGTACACCGATGATGATGATGCATTTTTTGGCCAAATGTGGTCAGAATAAAAAATAGATATTATTCATACGACAACAAATCTTTCGATCGAAAGACGGACAGCAGGACAGTCGGGCACGGCTATATCGAATCGGCTTTTGATGCTGCTGAAGAAATTATGCTGTCCGGAAAATCTCCGACAGTGAAAACAAAATTATAATACCCTCCGCAAGACATACAAAATACAAATGTGTTTTTTAAGACGTATTTTATGTAGAAGCTTTCTTAAGCCCACAAATGCTATTTCTTTTCGATAACAAATCGTCTTTACATATAAATTTATATATAAACTAACCAAATACATTTATAGTTTTCAGGCGATTTGCTGACTTTTTTTTTCTTTGAGCTCAGGTATAAATACGCAAGCCTGAGTAATAAGTCGATAAGTCGACTTCAATCGCTAAAACCTTCTGGGCAACTTGTTACATGCTGTGAAATTCAACTCCAAGGAATGGAAACAGAGAGAAACAAAAGAAAAGACAATAAAAAAACCATAATTGATTTGCTGGGCTTGATGGTTGGATGCTCCACCTCCACCTCCACCTTCACCTTCACCTTTTTGTTTTGTTATTTTGTTCTGCACTGCGTTTAATGTGCCGGCTATGTTTGACAGGCTTGGCTTAATTATATTAAGGCTTTTATGGCGTTGAACATTGGTGTTTGTTTGGCAATACGGCGACTATAGGTCTCATAACTTATTCAGGCAAAAACCACCTTGCGCTTTATGCATATTCATGCTGCTGACAACCCTTGTTCCCGCCCTCTCGCCACTCCTCCTCAATCTGTCTATCAATCGGATGGGCACGGGTGGAAGATGGTAGCAGGCAACAAGAACAGAAACTGATGCTGCTCAACTTGGCCACTTATTCGCGCTCGTAAGCACGTTCACAGCAACATTCACATTCCGGGAGTGCTATACTCTGTCACCTGGTTTGGCCTAGTGGTCTAGTGGCATCGACATCGGCACGTGCCCGAGCCAAAGGAGCCAAAGAGGACATGCCAGGACCCGACAGAGCCTGTCTGTGCTCGCAACTTTGCAGTTTAAATAATTTACATAGGAGTCCAGTCCCGACGGAGAAGCTGCGGAATGTGGCGTAGCGTAGCTGGACAAAGCAGCCGGCATGGTATGGGGTGTGGTGGATGGTGTGTATGTATGCATATAGATGCAAAATGTAGATGAAAATTGAGATGAAAATTGCTTCAAAAGGCCAAGTGTGAAATGCGGAACAACAAATGTGGACACACACACAGCTACATTTGGCAATCCGTCAGCATCACGTATACGCAACAGAAGCTGTATGCACGTGTGTGCGAATGAGGGAGGTGGTGAGGGGTGATTGGGGAATTTTCGTGAAGTCTCCATCTCAATTCATAATTCGAAGTTAATTGCCTTTGGCGCGCTAAGTCGGCTCAAAAGCCCAGATCCGTAATCAATATTATGGCCACTGCGCACATTGTAATCCCTCATTTGCCAATCTGTACCTTGCTTATTTCTCACTCGATCTCCCCTAATCTCTCTCTCTCTCTCTCACTGTCTTTTTCTTTCTCTCTTTCTCTCTCTCTCGAGAAAAAGAGAGTCTCGCTTACTCTCCGCTTCTCTCTCTCTGTCTCCCTCTCTGCAACTCTGTTTCGAAGCTTTGTGTGGCTGTCGTGCGACTCGTGTGGCCATCAAAGCTGTGTTATCTCTGTCATTAGTCTCAAATACCAATGGGTATTAGTAGGTATGCAACTGAGGATTAGCCCCAAAAGCTGAGACACACATGCACACACACACACACACTCGACACACACAAAACATGCAA